GGATCGTGGCCTCCTTGGGAGGAGCGTGAGCCCCATGCAATTTGCGAAAGCTCGCGGCCCTGGGAGCGCGAACCCAGTGTTATTGGCCATGGATTGTGGTTTCTGGGAGCGCGAATCCAGCATGTTTTGCCAGGGATCGCTGCCCTCGTGACGCGGACGCAGTATATTTTCCAGAGCGGGGCAAGCGTGAAAACACATGGGTTCCTAACCCAACCCCTCGAGCGGAACAAGCGTGAAAACACATTGGTTCCAAACGCCCCAGGGCGGGGCAAACGTGAAAGCACATGGGTTCCGAACGTTCCCGGGAGGGACAAGCGTGACAACACATGGGTTCCTAACGCCCCAGGGCGGGACAAGCGTGAAAACACATTGGCTCCTAATATCCCAGAGGGGGGCAAACGTGAACGCACATTGGGTTCTAACGCGCCCAGGGCAGGACAACCGTAACAAAAAACGCATACTTCCTAACGCCCGAGAGCGGGACAAGCGTGACAACACATGGGTTCCTAACGCCCCAGAGAGGGACAAGCGTGAACACACATGGGCCCCTAACGCCCCAGCGCGAAAACACATTGGTTCTTGACGCCCCTTACTGGGACAAGCGTGACAACACGTGGGTTCATAACGCCCCAGAGCGGGACACGCGTGACAACACATGGGTTCCTAACGCCCCCTAGCGGGACAAGCGTGAACACGCATGGGTTCCTAACGCTCCAGAGCGGGACAAGCGTGACAACGCATGGGTTAACGCCCCTTATTGGGACAAGCGTGACAACGCGTGGGTTCTCATCGCCCCAAAACGGGACAAGCGTGACAACACACGTGGGTTCAAAACGCCCCGGAGCGGGACGGGACACGCGTGAAATCGCTTTGTTTTTTACCGCCCCAGAGCGTGACATGCATGACAGCACGTGGGTTTCGACTGCCTTCGAGCGGGACAAGCGTGTCAACACATGGGTTCCTAACGCCCCAGGGCGAGACAAGCGTGAAAACACATGGGTTTTAACACTCCAGGTGATCGTTTTCTGATTCATTGTTTTGCCAATCGGCGCTGGCCCTCGCACCCCGCCCCTCACCCCCCGCCCATGGAGTAGATTATGGTTGTTTTGGGCGCATGTTTCGAGCAGGTGGAGTCTCCCCCATAGGACGCACTGTTGCAACCAGTCGCAGTAAGCAGAGGTCCGGGGCCGGACTCCCCCCCTCCCCCTCCCCTTCCGCCCAATGTCGAAACGCCCAATAAGAAAACGCTCACCAGAGCAGGACAAAGCGTAACAAAGACATATGGTTCCTGACGCCCTAGATAGGGACGGTGTATGCCCCCCCCCACCCCGCCGTCGGCGCGTCCCTTGGCTCGTCTTCTGTCGGGCTCCTTTGTTTGTCCCCTGGCGATTTCCCTGCTTGTTCCGCGGCGCGTCCCGTGCCGCGTCCTCTGATGCGTCCTCTTGGGCATCCCCTAGCGCGGACTTGGCACATTCCGTGGCGCTTCCCTGCGCCTTGCGCCCCGTGTCGTCTCGTCCCGCTTTGGAGTTGAGTCGGATCTTCGGCTGCAACCAGCTCTGGGCCAACTATGCGCTCAGGCACTTTGAGCTGAAAATCCAAATTAGTTCGGTCACGATTCGGAGGCCAAGGGCGACTTGATTCACAACACTACAGAACACAACGCAAGTCATCGCGGCATGACGCAATTCATCTCAGCACGACGCAGCACACTACAATCGTTGGCACGATACATTCGGATTGATACCATCAGCATTGCACTTGCCTATCGCCCAACCAGGTGCCTTGAAGACGTAGCGATGCCTTGCGTTTCTAAGTTCCTTTTCCGGGTTCGTGGGTCGAACATGTTCGAGCCGCACCCAGCTGCGGCGGCGAGGAGTACCCCCCGAAGGCCAGGAAGTTTCGAATGTCGATGATCGAGGATCGAACTTCGAATATCGGCGTAGGGGGACCCAGGAATGCGCTCTGGGCTGATTCGGCGTCGGGCCTGGAGACCCGCTCTGAGCGGATTGGGGGTCTGAGCGGGTGTTGCTTGCAGAGCCGCCGCTCCCCACCGCCGTTGACGACGCCGCCCTCCTGGATGCGGCCCTCGACCCTCCAGGGTCGAGGAGGGAGGCTTCTCGACACGACAAGACGACGTCCTCTTTCCGAGGGACCCCCAGTAAGCCACAACTATAGCGTAGTTACGTTCCTCGAAGTGTTGCCAGGATGTTCCCGTTGTCGCCATTTCCGCTTCCGGACGCTCCGCGACGGCTCAGGAGGTGTCCAAGAGGGCCCCAACACACCCCAAGAGGGCGCCAAGACGGCCTACGACGCGCGCCCGAGATGGCCCAAGGGGCCCCTGTAGCCATTTTGGCTCAAGCCATGTTGGCTCAAACCGTTGGCTCAAACATGGTATTGCCTTGACCCAGCAGTTGCCAGCCCAGGATGCATCAGTCCAAGAATTCCTTGGTATGGTGCAGACGACGGTGCGGTGGATGCGATCATGCTTGCAGAGGGTTTGCTCAGCTTCCAGGGGTGGATGCCACCAGCGGCGCTATTTGCTTGAGCTACCAGGGGCACCATTCGAGCGTTATTGGGAACATGCATGCCCACTTTCCTCCGCCTTCCAATCGTGCAGCTTATCAATGATATCGCCGGCAGCGCGTGGGAAAATTTTGGAGGGGTTTGCTCGCGAAGTATGGGAAGATACGTTTCCAAATGCAACCACCGAGGATCCAATGCTCGGAACGTGTTATGATGGTCGGAGAAGAGGTAAGAATAATGCCGACCACGATTGGATCAGCGACGGCATGTACGTAGAGAGCAAGAGTGCTCAATTGTGTTCGCATGCTGCTGGTTATTGGAGGTTCCACTTTGTAGGTGTGAAGCTCAACTTAGGCGATCAATTAGTTCTAGTTGGGTACACTCCAAGGCAACTGCTCTTTATACGCCATGACTACCGGCTTGGCGTGTCGCGTGCTGGCGCGCGCACTGAATTGGTTGGCCATAGTATTTTCTTGAAGAGCAGTTCTCGCGCGAAGAGTTGGACCGAAGGCGCTTTAGAAATTGAGAATAGGTTACGGTCTACTGAGAACCAGTGCGATCTCATTGCGACGATGGATGTCGAGGACGACCGCCTTCTACGGGCATTGGCTGCCCATTTGGAAATGTCAGATGCAATGCGAGCGATCAGCGCATACAAACATAATCCATTCACACCTATGTCGCCTGCAATGCGGGGCTTGCGTATCCAAGGGCTCGTCCGTCAAGTGCACCAAGCTGTCCACACGGGTAGTCATTTCACTGATCCTGTCGGCCACACATCCCCATGCGATTGGTATCGAGATGCGCTCCGCGTCGAGTGTAAACATACTCGCTTGAGATGGTCACGAAGAGATCAAAACTGGAGTTGTTCCTTCTCACACTTGAAGCTCGACAATTTCGACGAGCTGGTCTTGGCTATTGACAGCCCTGGGGCGCTGCACATCGTGAAATTCGGTGGGAGTCGACAGATGATATCACCCAAGGGGCTATGCACACAGTTGTTGGGCTATTGTTGCCAAGTCCGTGCCCCGAAAGGCATCGAGGATTGCGGTACTGCACTGGAAGCGATCATCACGAAATTGGTGGCGTCGGGATGCTCGCTCCTCGCTGTAGTACGCTATCCCCGTGAGCAGGAGCAAAGCGATGTGCAGTGAGCGGCTTGAATAAGGAACACTTGACTTTTCAAAAGGGGCTCGGCCGTTCCTTAGGTTTGCATGCGTCAGTTATCGTTCCCTATTCGTGAGTTATTATGAATCGTTCCTTGTGCGTTATTCCCTGGGAAAAAAGAAGGGGCTTCGTTCCTTGTGTATCGTTCCTTAGGTCAGGCCGATGGCTGTGTGACCCAATGCCCCCGAATGAGATAAAGATGGCCCGAGAGGCCCGAACGCGGCCCCTCCAAGGAGCCCGGAGATGCCGCAAGGGCTTCAAGGCCAAGAGGCCCCAAGGCACCCACAGGGACGGCGTCCTTCCACACGGCCCACCCAGCCCGGGCGCCCCAAGAGGGTTCCCCGCGTGCCAGTCAACAGAGACCCACAGGTTAGAAGTAATTTATTTGCGAACACGGCCCCTCAAATGAGCCCGGACATGCCACAAGGGTTTCAAGGCCAAGAGGCCCCAAGACACCCACAGGACGGCTTCCTTCCACACGGCCCACCCAGCCTTGGGCGCACCAAGAGGGTTCCCCGCGTGCCAGTCAACAGAGACCCACAGGTTAGAAGTAATCTATTTGCGAACTGGTTGTGGCAGCGGTTGTCTGGAAGGCTGGCCAGAGGAGACTGGAACCCTCTCGCGCGCGCGGCGCGCGCGAGAGGGTTTTAGTATGCGACGGGCCGCCAGACTCGTGTCCAGCAGGACGAAGTATCTTCTTTGCACACCCTGGCCCTCAGACACTTACAGCACCAGAAGCAGTAGCCGCAGCGGAAGCAGCGCTCTTACCGTTGCCGCCTCCATCGCCAGCCGCCTCCTGCAGGCTGCCCGGGAGGATCGATCTTCGAGCCAGATGTCACGCCCAGGATAACTTGCTGGTTTGCTTTCTGGGAAGGGTCGGGCAATGCTCTCCCTGGACCCCGCGGCTCCGACTGACCCTTACGGGGGAGCGCGACAGCGGAGCACACGCTGCCCGTGCGCCAGGTCAGCCCGGGGCCCCCCGCCCGCCCGCCCCGCGAGTTCCCCCGCCCGGGCGCGCGCGAGCTCCCCCGCCGGACCGCGCCCCGACGAGTTGTATTCACAGGCACACACACACAACACACACGCACACACACACTCACACACAGACGCACACACACGCACTCACGCGCTCACGCACGCGCGCACGCACACGCGCACACGCACACGCACACGCACACACGCACACACGCACACACGCGCGCACACACACACGCGCGCGCGCACGCGCACGAGCAAGCGCACGCGAACGCGAACGCGAACGCGCACGCGCACGCGCACACGCACACGCACACGCACGCGGACGCCCTGAGGCCAGTCCAGGCAGGGCTACCTTGTCGACTCGTTCGCGCGGCCGTTCGAGGGCAACGAGGCCACCCGTCCTCCTGTTTCTTTCACCCTGCCTCCTCTATCCTCCCTCCTGCTCCCTCGCCGTTGTCGCCCTCCCCCTCCTCCCTCCTCCCCTCCTCCCTCCTCCCTCCCCTCCCCTCCCCTCCTGCCTCGCCGTTGTCCCCCTCCCTCCTCCTCCTCCTCCTCTCCCCCTGCCTCCTCCCGCCTCCCTCCTCCCTCGTCGCCGTCGCCCTCCCCCCCCCCAGTCCCCCCCCCCGCAGAGCTCGGTAGACTGAGCCACCCGAGGTCCTCGACCAACCGACCAACCCCCCTCCTCCACATCCCGCATGTCAGACATCATCGTCATTGGATTTGGCAGTGGTGCATCCTCCCTACTCCTACCAACCGACCTCTCCTCCCCTCCCTCCCTCCTACGTGTTCGCCAGGCCTCTGGGCGACCCCTTGGGACCGCTGGGGGACCGTCGGGGGCCTTGGGGATCCTGCTTCGCGGTCTGACCCGGGGGCTGGAGGAGGAGAGGAGGAGGAGGAAATAGAGGAGGGAATGGAGGAGGAGGAGGAGGAGGAGGACACGAGCACAGACGAGGGATGGTTTGTTGCATCATCGTTGATGCGGCTTGGGTTACCACTGGGTCTCCTCCGCCTCCTCCTTCTCCAGGAGTATCCGGAGGTGGAGGTGGAGGAGGAGGAGGAGACCCAGTGCTAACCTGAGACGCACCAACGAGAATGCAATGAGCCCTCTTTCCTCGGTGCTCGTGCCCTCGTCGTCGTCGTCGTCGTCGTCGTCGTCGTCCGAATGTCGGAGGCTGGCGCGGGGTCATCCCCGATCCGACGCCCAGAGCCCCCAGGAGGAGCAGGAGGAGGAGGAGGAGGAGGAGCCTATTCTTGTTCGTGCCAGCTGGGGGTGGGTGGAGGGCAACGGCGCCTCCCGCGCCTCCATGGCCAGGGACGTCAGAGGCCCCTATTCCCGAGGGCACAGCCCTCCTTCGATGTGCCCACTTCACAGGTCCTGCAAACGACTCGTCGCCTCCGTCTTCTCCTCCTCCTCCTCCTTTTCCTCCTCCTGTTCCTCCTCCTCCTTTTCCTCCTCCTCCTCCTCCACCTCCTCCTCCTCCCCCGCATGGCGTTCCTCCTGCCTTCCCCAGCGTTCTTCCTCGCTCGCCTCTTTCGCCTCTCCTGCTCCCCCAAGGGCCCACTTCATAGGTCCTGCAACCTATTCATGTTTATTTCGGGAAGTGCCCCCTTGAGAGACAACCTTTTGAGAATCCTCACGCGTGGCAACATACAATCCCCTGGATTTCAACGCCGCGGATCAGCGTGACTGTTGCGTCCTGGCGGTCCCAAGTCAGGCCAGAACACGAGCCCTGGGACTCCAACTCCGCGAATCAACATGACTGTCGCGTCCTGAAATCCGAAATCCTGCCAGAACGCAGTCCTCGGGGTTTTAACCTCGCGATCCCTCAACGCTGCCGAAGACGTTTAATACGAATGCGCGCGGCGTCAAGGCGAGAGCCGCATTTTGAAAAGGAGCCGTCCTGCATCATTGCGAGCGTTGGCGTTCAAAACAAACATCAGAGTGTGCGCGATGCGAAGGCGAGAGCCACATTTCGAGAACCATTCGCCCTCCATCCTTGATGCGCTATAAGTTTCTAAGACCAGTGTGCGCGGCGCTAATGCGAAAGCTACATGTTTACAAGGGCCCGCACTCCATTAGTTGTTGCTATATGTTCAGAAGAATGTGCGCGGCGCTAGGGCGAGAACCGCATTTTGAAAGCCTTTCGCCCTCCAGCCTCGAAAGTGGTGTACACTGTGCAGAAGAATGTTCGCGGCGCTAAGGCGAGAGCCACTTGTTGAAAAGAAACCGCCCTCGATTCTTTCCTTGAACATGTTGCAAACAGGTAAGACGAACGTGCGCGGTGCGAAGGCGAGAGCCTCATTGTCAACATGATCCGCCCTCCATCTTCAAACTTGCTGCAAATCTATAGCTTCAGGATCACAAGAGGCGAGGAAAGCTCAGGCGAAACGTCCGGCCCAACTGGGGGTGCCACAGGGAGGAGATGTTTATCAGAAAGTGGGATGAAGGAGGAGGACGAGGACGAGGACGAGGACGAGGACGAGGAGAGGACGGGGACGAGGAGGAGGAGGAGGAGGAGGATTGGGGACTCCCAGGCTTTGGGGGCCACCCGAAGCCCGCCCCCGCCGCCCCCCTTTCCTCCATCCGCCGGCCATGGGGTGCGGGGAGATGCCTCGTGGTCGGCCCAGGTTCGCGGCGCGGCCTTGGCTGACCTGGCTCGGACCCGGGAGAGGCGCGCCCCCGTACGAACTGGAAGGGTAACGAGCTTGCTGCCCCCGCGGCGTGGAGGGTTTCTCCGAAGAGATTAGGCGACCCGTCCTCCTCCTCCTCCTCCTCCTCCTCCTCCTCCTCCTCCTCCTCCTGCTCTTCTTCCTCCTCCTCCTCCTCCTCCTCCTCCTCCTCCTCCTGCTCTTCTTCCTCCTCCTCCTCCTCCTCCTCACTTTCCTCCTCCTCCTCCTCCTCCTCCTCCTCCTCCTCCTCCACTTTCATCCTCCTCCTCCTCCTCCTCCTCCTCCTCCTCCTCCATCTCCTCCCCCTCCCCCTCCTCCTCCTCCCCTCCTCCTCCCTTCCTCCTCCTCGGGCCGCCTACGGCCCCCGGGGAAACCGTGCACCGCGGCGTTCTCCGTCGGTCCGATTTTGCCAGGGGCGCCCTGGCCGTCCCAAGCAGCCCCTCGGTGGCCCAGCCTGCGGCCCGGAGCTTCTTACGATGCCCTGCTGCCGCTTTCGCGCCCCCACCGCGCGGGCCCTCGATGGGCACTCGTCGCCGCGGCCTGGCGGGCGAGTCGAGTCGAGCAGGCCTTGCGTCCTGTAGGGCGCGTGGCCAGCACGCGGGTAGAAAGTTTGCGCGCCAAGCTTCCTGCTGCTCCTCCTCCTCCTCCTCCTCCTTCTCCTCCTCCTCCTCCTCCTCCTGCTCTTCTTCCTCCTCCTCCCCCTCCTCCACCTCCATCTCCTCCCCCTCCTCCTCCTCCTCCTCCTCCTCCTCCTCCTCCTCCTACTCCTCCTCGTCCTCCTCCTCCACAATTACTCAATATGAAAATACTCTCCCTCTTCCCCTGATGGCGTCTGGGTGATGGCCGCGCATTCTCCGCGTACTGTTTTTTACACACAGGATGCCCGGGAAATCCCGGGAAACGACTCTCGCTGAGGCGCCGGCGTCATTTTCGGGCCGAACGCCCCCCGCGTTCTGTTTTTTTACACACAGGATTCCCGGGAAACGGGTTTTCGCTTGCGTTTTTTTTGTTTAAATGATGCTCTCGCTGAGGCGCCGGCCTCATTTCTGCTCCCGAATCGTTCCGAATCGTGCACCCGCTGCAGCGTGGTCCTCATTTTCGGATCGGTGTTTGGCCTCCGTCGTTCAGGATGGCGTTCTCGCCCCAGCGCGGGCCTCTTTCTCGCGCGCCCATCCGCCCGCCACCACCGCGCCGCACCACCACCACCACCACCACCCCCCACCACCATCACCACCACCCACCACACACCACCACCACCAGCACCACCAGCACCACCACCACCACCACCACCACCACCACCACCACCACCACCACCACCACCACCACCACAACCACGCACACACGCACGCACGCACGCACGTGCACCACCACCCACTACGCACGCGCGCGCGGAGCCACAGGTCCGCTACGACACGCGTCCGCGGATAGAGAAAATCAGCGCCATGGTAAGGGATGGGAGGGAGGGGTAGGACGTCAGATATGACGCGAGCGCACCTAGCTTGTCCCCCCCCCTCCTCCTCCTCCTCCTCCTTCTCCTCCTCCTCCTCCTCCTCCTCCTCCTCCTCCTCCTCCTCCTCCTCCTCCTCCTCCGCTGTTTCCGCTGTTTGCGGCGGCATGAGGGATCCGCTCCCTGAGCCGCAACCGAGGCGCCTCTGCGCCCGAGCCTAGCCGCGCGCGCGGCCGACCCGCGGGCGCCCTCGGCGCCGGGGGGGGGGGACCCCGCCCAAGAGGAGAGGAAAGGGCCTCCAGGATCTCACGGGGCAGAGGAAGAGCGGGAGGGCGAGGCCCCAGAGACGCTAAAGGCCAGGCACCAGTGGACCCCGCAAGGAGGGAAGGAGATGGCCTGCGCGGGTCCCAAGAAGAGGGAGCGGGGTCCAATGGCCTGCAACTCGCCCTCTGGCCCGATGCGCTGCCGCCCAGGATAGCAGCCTGGCAGCTGCGTCACCTGTCCTGGGCGGCAGTGCCCAGGCCTTGGAGCACGGTGGGCCAGGGCTCGCCTGGCGTGCCACCCCCTTTACCCCCACAAGCACAGGGCCCGAACCAGGAAACCATAAGTGGAAGATGAGGCGGCTGGGGGTAATGGGGGTGACACCAAATTATGTCCGTCGGGACCCCGACGACTCGGCCCCCTCACTGGGCCACGTCGGTGGTCGTTGGTCTTGTAGTAGAGCATGATTCTGTCGCCCTCAAGCTTGTGGTACTCGACTCAGTCATGCTGGTCGAAATTGTTGTTGACTCTGCTGTGCCCAACCCTGTGGCCCTCGTCCCAGTCACTAGTCATTCTGGTATGGCTTGACCCAGTAGCACTATCTGTTGTCCTCGACTCGGTAGTGCTGGTCCTCGCAATACGCTTTGTGACTGCGATGCCAAGCTTATGGTGCTCGGGCCGTCGCTCTGATTGAAGCAGTAGCTGACTAGCTGGCCCCGACCCTGTGGTACTCGGCACCGTCGTGCTGGTCGAAGTGGCGGTACTTGTCTCGGTATGATGAACCTTCTCCATTTGCTCCCTTCACTCCATTCAACTCGGCATCGCTGATCCAGTGGTCGCTTGTCTCGGTGATGGTAGGCTCTTTGTACTGGGCTCGGTCGCCCTGGTCGAGTGGAACCGTTTGACTCAGTTGGGCTCAGGCTCCTGGTACTCGACTCAGCCGATGAGGTACTTGTCGTGCTGGTTACAGGTCGTTCGGGATCGGCTTGTTGTTGGTAGGTGGAATAGGTTGT